CTTACAGATTAATGTGTGATAAAAATAAACAGAATATTAACGTGGTGAGAAAACCTGAAATTAACCTTCAGGATCTGTAGCTGCACACCTTCATCGGTATTTGGGCCACTGAACGGTGAACATATTGCTTCAACAATCCGGTCGATCAAAAGGCGTTCTGGATTTGACACATCCACTCCATTACCCATCAAATGTCCATAAGCTATCAACTTCTGAAAAGAAAAAGTACACCATTCACCTCACTTTGAACTGCCCCTTTCAATTAAGCATTAACTAATACACACAAGCACACACACATACATAAACATACACACATACATACATACATACATACACATACGCACACACACACAAATTCCCGTTCTACTAACTATTATCGGCTTTCTTCAGTGCAAGTGCACGAAATACATTCTGAACAAAAATTGTGACGTGTCTTAACAAGGCTTCATCAATACAAAGCCAGATGCTTCCTTTCTATGCCTAGAAGCCAGAACAGGACCATTTGGTGTCATATTCGTCAATTACCGAAGATTCTGTTAAGTAGCGACTTGCAAAACATCAACTCCCATTCACTCATTGTCGAATACCAATTTTTTTTTTAATTTGCTCTGAAAAATATTCAGAAATGCTTTACAATAAATGTGCCGAACCTTCATTTTTTGAAAATGGTACTAACTGAAGGTACTAACATGATGATACTAACTGACATTTATCACACTTAACCTTTAACTAACTAACATTTGACTGACTAACATTTATCACGATGGTACTAACTGAAAGTATGCAGCTCAGGCCTGACGGATCTGCTGGCACAGCTCTGCTTGGCGTGAGTTGGAGCATCCTAGTAAAAATGTTAATACAGGACACCCAGAATGTCATTCCGGACAATCTTTATATTCTTGGTATCCAGTAGCCGCCGCACTGCAGCGCCCCTTCTTTTGGAATGACCAGTTTAGCAGTTCAAAATCCTTCTCCCTCCTTGTGATCCCCTTTTACATATTTTTATATATAAACACAAAAGAACAAAACACAACATTCGAGAACAAATTTTATCTATCACTTTTCGTGTTTTGACCCCTTCCCACCCTCTCCCCACCCCCTCCCCCCTCTGGCGTAAGTTAGTATCCAAGTAACATCACTAGCGCTGTTCAGGGATTTCTACACCAACTGTTCAGGCGGTACTGGTCTCGGTAATTATCATCCGACATTTTGCGTTAAAAATAAGAACATTTTGCGTTAAAAATAAGAACATTTTGCGTTAAAAATAAGAACTGCAGAAAAATAATTACTTCTTCCCTACGGAATTTTCCATTGCTGTTTTAAACAGCATTGACGGTCGCTGCAGTTTTCGTGTAAGGCATTCAATTCCGTGAATTATTTTTTTTTTACAGGCACAAAAATTTCAAAAATCCGGGACATTTTACCTGAGAAGTGGTAATCTTCAAGTCCAAGCTGCAGACAAAAAGCCAGTCATATGTGATAAAAAAGAACGGGGATAACCTGTAAGCAGTCGAGAGCGATGATAACGATGCGTGGTGATTTGGAGTGACAAGCCAGATCGAAGGGAAGAAAATAACGATCGGCGTGCACAAACTGCGACCTGGATGGCAGCACATTTCCGGTCGCCCCATCGTCACCCGTATCAGCGATACCCAATTCTTCAATCGCTTGCTCACAAGCTTTTCGAAGTTGCGCGTTCTCCTGGAACCCAAAAAAAAAGGTGACCGAATCGTTCAGGATCTTTCGAAAGTTCAGAATCTTACTTCGATCTTTTTGTAAAAATCTCATTTCGACCGCCTGTAACGAGTTTTTTTCAAAAATTTCTTCTCTATTTTACTTCCCTAAAAAATGATTTACCGTTTTTTTCGATTCATTCAAAGCTTAAATCAAGTCCTTCTACCGTTTCTCCCAAAAATTTATTGCAGCTTTCCTTTTCATTTTCATACTTTCCTTAAAAAACTGTTACAAATCCCCACTAATCTTTTCGTAAATGAAGTCCAGTATACCCTCCCCCCAAAAAAACCTATCTCAATTCTTTTTTAATTCTCAAAAAATTCTCAAAAATTCTCAAAAAAAACCACTCCGAATCTTTCCGTTTTCTTGGAAAATTCAACTTTAAATCGCCTTTACTTTTTCTTAAAAAAGTCATCGCTTTTTTTGTTTTGCTCAAAAATTCATTTCGAATCCCCGCCGTGCATCGATTTTCACTGTCCTATAATTAAAAAAAAAAAAATTTATTGGAGAAAAAATGGATGTTCGGATTGCTAGCAGCAGGCTGACTACCAGGCGATGCAGCATTGGTCAAAGCAAATGAAAAAGCTGTCCAAATGAGTCAACTTTAGAGAGGCAAACTATGAATATCAAAAAAAAAAAAATATCAGAAATAATTAGGGCAGGTGATAATTTGGGACCTTTTTCTTTACGTCCCTGTCGGCAAGTATTCGTCCAATGGCATTGCGCAAAAACATCACAGCCGCTTTCCTCAATTCATTATTCATATCCAGAACATCCTGAAGGAAAACAAGTCAAAAACAAACAATTAAAACATAAAAACTACGATCGCCAATAAGCCGCCAACAAGTCCGAACAGCTAACACATCACCAGCTTCCTTTTGTAGAAGAGCTAGAGAAAG